CACGTCCCGGGCCCAGCTCACCTTCCCCACCGTGGAGGGAGTGAGGTGCTGTGGTGGGGTTAAGCTCAGCTCACCCTGCTGCCCTGGGGCTCTGTACCCCCCAGAAATGCCAGACTATGAGCACCCCGGCTCCAAGGAGGCCTGGTACAGACACAGGCTGCCTGAAGTGCAGACAAGGTCTGCAGTCCCCTTGGCCTGTCCTGGCTGGGCACAGGAGAGGGAGAGACAGATGGTACGGTTCAGCCCGCTGACATATCTTAGGTGCCTGTCAGGAATTTCAGAGTATAACCTTTGCTCTGGGTTTTTATTACTTGCCCCTTCTGACCAGGGGAGAGGGCGTGCTGCAACCTGCACGCGGCTCTGGGCTGGGTCTGCTCCTCTGGAGCTGGTGCCAAGGTCCCTGGCAGCTCGGGAGCTGGCACTGCTCAGCTGCTGAAGCACTTGACTGTCAGTTGCTCGGTGTTCCCATCTCCAGCTCCTCGTCTTCCTCCTCCGACCAGCTCAAGCTGTCATCCGAGTCCTCGCCCTGCACTGCCCCCGGCTCCTCTGTATTGGCAGCCTCCTTCTCCTGCTCGCCATGGGAGTGCAGCCTGCTTTGGGCGAGCTCCAGCCTGGCCCAGGAGCCAGGGCTGGCTTTACAAAGCGAGATCTCCACCTTGGTAGGGACCATGCTCACAAAGCTCTTCTCTATTTCAATGACCTAGAAAGAGGGAAAGGTGCAGTGAGCTGGGCAGGGGAGGGCAGGCTGCACACGCTCATCCTTCCCCTTACTGGCAGAGCCCTGCCAGAGAAGAGAGATCTACTCTCCTCGTGTGCCAGGAGACAGAGCAGGATGAAACCTGGGCTCCAGCTGAGCTTCACAGTGTTACGTCTAAGCAGCACCGCAGTGCTGGTACAGAGCTCAGGAGAGCTCAGCTAGCCGCAGCCACGTGCACGGCTGTACAGCCCTCTCCCCGTGCCCAGCAGCACGCTCTGCTGCGCACAGGCACAGGCGGTATGCACCAGAAATAAAGGCAAGAAATGCACATGCAAATTCCTGAGTCTCACGGCTCCTCCCCAGCCAGCAAGCAGCTCAGAAATCAGAGAGCGAGTCTCTCCCCTCACACCGCTGCCTGGCCGCAGGCACAGTAGGATTGCTGGGGGAAACAGGGACCTGCTGGGCCAAAGACCCTTTGGGGCAGCCTAGGACCAAACCCGGAACACCTACAGAGCCGGCAGTGACATCCAGCTCTGCTTTTAGTCCAGAGTCGATCAGTGCAGCCTCTGAAACAGCCCTCCTCACAACCCCTAAGGCATTTCCTAGCAGAGATGGCTATAAATGCCAGTACCTGGGCAACCTAGCTCCCAGATGATCCCAACAAAAGCAAGCCAGCGCTGTGGCAGCGTTTAAAAGAGAGTAGCTAGGGTGCTTCAGGTAGTGCAGAGCCATCAGATGGGCACCGAGCCCAGGCACAGTCCTGGCATGGCTCCCAGGGGTTGCTAACACTATAGGATCAATAGAGAAAAACCTAATTTCCCCATCAGCCTTTGCTGCTATAGAAAACTGGAGCTCTGGAAATAAATGGGTCCTCTCTGCTGCGACAGCCGTGGTGGACCTGTGTTCTCCACAAGGCTTCGAGAGCTGGCAATGAATCACACCAAGGGAGTGACTATGAAATGGCTGTTTGTTCCACAGATGTACCAGCCTGGGAAGAGACAGCATCCCAGGGGCCATAGTATTTCTATGCAATAAAACAGTCAAAGTCTGCCTCATGCTCCATGCACAGGCAGAACTGTGCAGAAATTGCAGCAACAACCATTTTGCTGCTTTTTCAAAAGTCTGAGAATCCTGACTACGCAGAGAGTAATTTTCCTTACTGGGAGCCTGTGTTTGGGGCTGCAAACGCTTCTCCCAGAGCACAGGCTGCCTTGCAGCATTGTAGCCGAGCCCTATGCAGACTGCTGGAATAGGGAAATCAAAGTAAACAGGATCTTACCCCCCAGAGATCCAGTTCTGCCTGGAAAGTCTTATTCCCTTCAAAGATGACGTGAACCTCAAGCTGAAAGATCAACAGAAAATTATCTGAGTGGGTAGCACAGCACTGCAAGAGCTTTTCCCCCAGCTGCCTTCCAGCATCATAACGTATCCCATGTCCTGGCTCCGGTGTAATGGCCACTGAGCCAGAGTGGCTGGGCAGATGCTGCTGCAGCAGCAAAGCCGCTGGGCTCCCAGCTCAGAGATGGCAGGTCAGCAGTGCCAACCCCAGCTGCAGCAACAGACCAAACAGGCCATCAAAGAGTGCCAGGCACCCGGCCGGCTCCTGGCTGTTGGCTAATCAAAATCAGGTGCCATGAAAGCATGCATCCCAAGCTGAGCTCTGCCAGCCCCACTCACCACAGTACGGTTGGCTTTCACGCTGCTGAGGATGGGCAGGGGGTTCTTGGCATATACCGTGACCACCACCTGGCTGCTGGTTTGATGCCAGTCCTGCCGGCACGTCACAGCCTTCTTGTCCTGCCAGGGAGATGAACCCATCATGGCATGGCATCTAGCCCAAGTACACCCCAAACGGAGGGGATGCCTGTGCCGGAGGATGCTCCTTTGCACGTCTCCTTTGCAGAGTGCCGGCTGAGGTAGGCATCAGCTAAGCAAAATCAAACACTGCCTTTCGTGCAGGTTTTTGAGGGGAGGTGGTTCATGTGAAGGTGGGCAGCCCCTGCCAGGCTGTCCCATGCAACATGGGACATCTGTGCTGTGCTTGGGATTATCGCTCCAGAAGGTCGTGTTAAGACCACAGACAACCCCCTTTTGTTCCAGAGTCACTCTGCTGTGCCCAAGCTCATAGGCGCTGTGCACAGTCAGGAAACTCGGTCTGGAGTGAAGTGCAGGGGTTGTTGCTGGACATGGATCATGCCACCATGCTAAATTTGGGACACAGGTGAGCCCCAACTAGCCATGTTTCACCTTTCTCACACAGGACCCCCACCTCGTCCATGCTACAGGCAGCTTTGGCCCCACCAGGCGTTTCTGAGCATCACCAGGAGACAGACACTCTGCAGCCCTCAGCATTGCCAGGCAAAGAAATGCCCCGGGAGGAATCCCAGCCCCAAACTCAGGTGACAATTAGCACAAAGCATCTGCATCACAACATCACAGTTCATTCACTGCAGCCTCCTTTATATCCACTATATCTTTTCTGTTCCAGGACAAAGAACAGACTGGGCTCAGAGGGCGTTGCTCAGAGAAACATGATGCACTTTCAGAGATATCCTGGGCTGCTTTGGTGCAACTTTCCCAGCTCAAGCCTGTTTCCAGCCAAGAGCTTTCCTGGGAAAACTTACATACACACACACAATATTGGGAATTGGGATCTTCTCCCCATTGCCCTGCCACAACACCATGTCGCTATGTAGATGAGGTCCCTCCTGGGAAGCAGTTGCAAAGGGAAAGCTTCATTAAAACCAAATTCAGTCATCTGTCAAAACTTTTGGGGTTTTTTTGCAGGGTTTTTCCCATGCTCAGCTGCCTGTCCCTATGCGGCAGCCTGCAGCGCTGGCTACACCGTGCCTGGGGCCAACTCCTGCCTCATTCAGCTTCCTATTGCACATCTGCCCATCGGGTGTGAGAGCTGACACATTTTGTGAATGCAGGAGCACCATTTTAAACAGCACATGAGTGAAGATTAGGCATTCAAACCCTGCACAGTCATCTGTCGGCAATTATGAAAATTAAGAGAATTAAATGCAGAAACCTGTGTGAATGCAGAGCAAGGGAAGGAGCACTCCTCAGGTGCCAGTAATGGCACTTTGCTCACACGAGTCAGCCCTGCCAAGAGCCCCTTACCCCCTTCCCTGTCCAGCAGTGCCGCCCGCTGCTGCAGCCTGGCTGCTCCAGGAAGGTACTGAAATCCGTAGTTTTGATTCCACAGCAGCTCCAGTACTTCATCCTGGGGAAAGCAGGGTGACCTGAGTGGGGAGCGCCCGCGGGAGCAGGACAGGGGACCACAGCAGGCTTCGGGGTGGTGGGGAAGCAGCGCTCAGAACCAGCAGCTTCCCCTGCCCACCTGTCACCCGGGGGGGTGTCACCCATGACTGCACCAGCTGTGCTGCTAAGGCCACACAACATTGCGATGTGGCACTTTCAGCCCTCAGCAGGGTTGGTTTGCTCCCCGGTAAAGGATTGTTTCTTACCCTTCATGAAAGACAGGAACGCCAGGATGGAAAGTACAAACCTCTGTGTTGCTCTCCAGGCCCTGATAGATCTGTGGAGTGAGAAGCAGAGGAAAGTTTTGGCTGTGCCTCTGGCACGGCACGGCATGATGCAGCCAGGCATCTCCCCATCAGTGCCCATCCCTGCATAGGGCACAGCACGATGCCCAACATCACCCTTTCACCGGGTCCAGCATCTGTGAGGACTTACTCTGGGACTATGCCCAGCTGGCAGCCCGGCACTGGTCCCTGCTCCCTGCTGGCAGGGCAGCGATCCCGGCCTTGCTGGGACCCCAGTTTCATCCCCAGCTGCGACCCTGGCAGCAGCCCTTCCGTATGCCCTCTCCCAAATACAGGCTGGTCCCAGCCCGGGACTGGGCAGCACTGGGACAGTGGACAAGTTTGGACACCACAGAAACTCGCTCCGAGGTGCAAGGCGCTGTTCGTCCATCCTGTCCCTTCCTCTCTTTCCTAGATCATGTCAGTCTCATGTCCTCATCCACCTCCCACCTTTTGCTCCCTGCTCACTCTGCTGCTTTCCAAGCATGCCGGCACATGCCTTGAGGCAGGCAGACAGTCCTACACAAGGCGGTCTTGGGGCAAGAAAGAAAGTGGGCTGTGCTGCATTAATTAAATGCAGGTGGCAATTATTCCACATGCATTTTACCTATATGCCCATATCCTAAATATGTGCTATATTTCATTGCAAGCAATTAGCAGCAGTGAAACACAAATGTACCACCAATCCAGGAATCTGGAAGCCTCTTGCCAGAACGTGGCTGGGAGCCACAGAGGCAGCCGCTGACGACACAGGGCCAGCCGCTCCAGGGATGGGATGAGCAGGAGCATACGGATCAAATGGGCACTGCCACCTCCCACCCACTTGGCACCGTGCCCCGCACCTGGTGGTAGCTGGGACACAAGCCCCCGTGCCGGACCTGTGATGCTCCTGGCCATGCGGCGCAGACCATGCAAAGATGGGACCCTGCCAGGTACTCACTGCCTTGCAGGCTGTGTTCTTGCAGGTGGTGCCAGCTCTCACCTGGGCAGCCGCCTCCCCTGTGAGAGCAACACAGCTTCACCCCGGGGCACGCACCACCCATGCCTGCCCCCAAACCCTCCCTGCAGCCCCACTGCCAGTTCCCCAACTTAGCAAGCACGGCCCCTGAACACAGCCCAATGCAATTGCCTCCAAGATGCAGCTCTGTGGGTTTGCAGGTGGCTGAGCACAGAGCACCCGCATCCTGAGCTGAATCTGCCATGCAAAACCGCACGCTGAAGTTGCCACGTGCAACCCCACTGCCATCCATCAGCTCTTCACTACCTGTACAACTGCCCTCAGGTGCCTCATCCTTGGAGGACAGGTTCAGTTTCTCCAGTGCCTGCTCCAGAGACCTGGATACTTTAATTGGCAGCAGTTGTCTTGGCTCATCAGAGCTGGGAAACAGCAGCAGTAAAGGCCAAGTGGGTTTTTTTTTCAATTTAAGTGTTGTTGCCTCTCCTGAGGAAGCAGCAGGGCAGGACATGCAGAAGAAGCGGCACAGCAGGGTGACACTGTTAGCTGAGCCCATCTCACCTTGGTCTTTCCCGCTGCATCTTCTCAGCTGATATTGGTCCTTGGATGGTGAGCTCCTCCACTGGCTTGGCCTTCGGCTCATCCGAAGGCTCCTCTTGGCTGAAAAGCTCAGGGGGCTTCTCCTTGCTGTGAAACCCCTTTGTGCATCCCTGAGCAGCAGAGGCAAGCCTGATGCCTGCTTTGCCCTCCCTAACCTGGCAGCTACTCCCAAACCCTGCAAGTTTCCATGCTCTGGTGGCTCTATGTCCTGCAGGAATGGGCTCTGACCCTGCACCAGGGCAGGGGCTGCATCCGCAGGGATTCCCATGGACAAGACAGTGTGGCAGCCTCACCGAGGCCATGGAAGACAGGTCTCAGCTCTGCTGCACCCCAGCCTGGCAGCTGAAGGGCAGCAAGAGTCTCCCCCATGTCCCTGGGCCTCTGCTGCCTCCTTCTCCCCGACAGGAATGCGGAGACATTCACAGCTGTGCTGGCACTTGGGACATTTGTGTTCATCCTGCAGGATCCTGGGGGATCCCAGCCCCTTCCAGCACCCTTCTCCGGGAGCACCTTCCCCACACTTTGGGAGCAGCACCCTTGCTTGCAAGCTCCTTGGAAGCAGATAGGAAATCCCCAGCTGGCAGGGTGAAGGGGGCAGCCCTGGCATGGGATGGGGATGAGACAGGGCAGGACAGGGCAGGGACAAGGAGGAGAGGACGGAGGAGCAGTGGGTGCATTTGGGCTAGCGGGTCACTCACCTTTATGGAGAGGAACTCGGAGAAGTCTGTTGTACGTTTCTTGCAACAAGACCAGCCCTAGGCACCAGAGATGACAAACTGGTCAGGTGTGGGCAATCCCAACAGTCCCTCCCTGCAGCTGCAGCCCTGGCTCCTGCCCCACTCACCTTCAGGGCATCGTGGAAGATGGGGATGCCCGGGTGATACAGGCAGGAATCTGAAAGGGAAAATCAGGCAGAACCTTTCAGGAGGAGCAATCCTGCCCACAAGCCACCCGTGATGCCCAGCATCTCCTGAGCCAGCTCCTGCCATGCAGGCTGCCTGCGCTGGGCTTGGCTTAGCCCTGCTTGGCAGCTCAGGCTGCAGCATAGCGGCCGAGGCCACAGACCAGGAAAGTGACATGCATTCCCGCTCACCCTGGTGCAAGGCAGATGAGCCCACTTACCCTTGGTGTTGTGCTCAGGATCGAACCTCTGCCCGCAGCCCTTGTTGTAGCACAGCGAAGCCATAGCTCAGGCGTATTTGTGGCGTCCTTCACTGTTTCCACAAAAATCTCATCAATCTCATCCCTGCCCGTGATCCCCCCCCGCTTCCCTGCAGTTTCCAGCCCAGGCACCGGGACGTGGCTTTGCCTATCTTTGGACGCAGCCGGAGGAGGTGGCTGGTAACTGGAGAGCATGCTAAAGATGGACATAGCAGCTTGGCAGCTGACGGGACCTGGCGCCCACGTTATCTCGAGAGGCATTTCTGTCCTGCCCCTGTGCCTGGCAGAGGGAATGGGCGCTGCAGGGTGGCTCCGCACTTGGGGTGGGCAGAGGACCTCCCAGTGCCTGCTGTCCCACCAGAGTCCGGCATGGAGGCATCAGCGCCACCCCAGTGCTCACACTTGTCTCAGGGCAACCTGCGACTCCTCTTGACCAACTGCTCTCAGTTTGTTTAGCATTTATAGAAGCACCTGAAAGTTTCCTGCAAAAGAAGGGAAGAGACTTCCCAGAGTCCCAGGGCAAAACCTGTGCTTATCTCCCCCAGCCCCAAAAGACACGACCATCTGCTAGACAGAGGCACCAGCAGACTAAAGCAGTGCATATGGCCAAGACATCCTTCGATGCAGGGTCTTGTGCAACCCAGGGATGAAATCTGTCCCCTGGAAGATCATTGTTGTCACAGAAGAAGAGGGCAAAATGTTACGTGGGCCCCCTGTACCCAGGAGAGGTTTGCTCTGACTCCCTGCTCCCATTCTGGGACCCAAAGGTTTTCCTCTACAAACAGGAAACCCTCCTGAGACCAAATGTTTTACTTAATTCCTACAGCATCTAAAACAAATAGTATTTTCTTTTTGTTCCTGTTTGCAGAGACAGCTGTTTCCTGGGTGCTACCCTGACCTGCTGGAGCACACAGCACCTGGAGATCGTTTCTGCTCAGGAACTGGGTTCAACATAAGCCCTTGGCACTATCACACAGTGCAAAGGGCAGGTCCTGTAGGCAGCAGCTGCCCAGGGAGTCTGCTCAGGAGGCGAACCCACAGGGTCCACCGTGGCTGATGTAACCCCATCCCTGTCCCACAATGTTTGTTTAACCTAGTTAATCCCCCTACAACAGCCTGCAGGATCTGCTGCACCCCAAGGGGATCTCCAAAGTCCAGAGTTAGGATTATCACACAGTGCAAAGGGCAGGTCCTGTAGGCAGCAGCTGCCCAGGGAGTCTGCTCAGGAGGCGAACCCACAGGGTCCACCGTGGCTGATGTAACCCCATCCCTGTCCCACAATGTTTGTTTAACCTAGTTAATCCCCCTACAACAGCCTGCAGGATCTGCTGCACCCCAAGGGGATCTCCAAAGTCCAGAGTTAGGATGAACCCTTGCCGAAATTCTGGAGTTCAGCATAGATGACTCCAGACTCATTTCACACTGCCCTGCTGCTCCACCTCCAGCTCAGTTCTGCCATTCCCACCTTGAGACGCCCCAGCCAGCAGCAACGTCGGGCTTTTCCTTGTCATCTCATTAGCAAGGAAGACAGTCCCGCTGGAAGGGAGGACATGTATTACCATCACCACCAGGACTCCTTATACCTGGGTAGCCTGTGTATAAACCCACATCCAACCGAAAAACTAGGTGGGAAACGTGAGGGCACTGGGGAACCATCACACCAGCATGAGCCACATGGCTTCAAGCTGATACCTCCTTTGAAGGACTGCAGTGCTTCAAGACACAAAAATGACCCAACGGTCCCAAAGATGGGTTAAAAAATGCTGCTGGCATCCAGAGCCTCTGCTTAGATGGGAGGGATCACTTGGGACCCAGGAAGCCGGGCAGAGCCCTGTAATGGCGGAATTTGCGGTCCCAGGGGCTGAGCAGAGCTATAGGGTTTCAGATCTCCTTGTCCTTTCCACGAGCCGTCAGCAAGGCTGCAGCTGTCGCCATCCCCATGCCAGTGAGAATCTGGAGCTCCCATTACCTTGCATGGCTTGGAGGAAACGCCAAGAGGATGCTGTGGCTGACCCACACAACAAGGCTCATCGCAGAGGGACCAGCAGGTAGCTGGGGGAGGCTGCAGCCAAGCAGAGCCCCCTCAGCGCCTGAGGAGCAGCAGCAGGCAGCTGAGAGCATGCAGTGGCACTGCTCTGCCCTTGCTCCTCTGCTGCACTGCTGCAAATGATGCAGGGAACGAGGTGGCCTGAAAGACAGAACCTGCTGGGAACATAGCACATGGGGTGTCCACAGCTCCCAGCCTAAGGGGAGGCTCCCCAGGGAGGACAAGGTGAGGGGGTGCAGCCTGGGAGACAGACACAAGATATCCACCATGAAACAGAGATGAGCTCCAGGGGAACCGCTTGGTCGGCCACCAGCAGACTCAAGGCCCTGCTAGAGCTGGTGCTTTAAAAATTAGGAAAAAGAGGAGATGAGGTTCAGGTGATGGCAAAGAGCGTGCTGGACTGCATATCCAGCAGTGTCTAGTTTGAAGCTGTGGCTTCTGGCAGTTGCATTTGGACTGCATTGCTGAGTCCGGCCCTCCTCCGGGGCAGAGCTCCAAGTAAAGCAGAAGTCACTGTGCGAGCCAGCTGAGCAGGGACAGTTGTGACCAACACCTTTGAAACAGCTTGCAAGGAATGGGCCAGTTGAGAATTAAAAATAAAGCCTGTTTGGTTTATGTGCACTTAATTTGATATATAACAGCACAAAAAGGAGGTAGAAAAAAAGGACCAAAAGATTGTCAAACCCAACTTAATGTGTTTGCCCTTGAATGATCAGGGTCAGTGTAAAACAGTCTCCCTGAGTCCTGGGGAGAACATGCTGGATGCCTCCGGGCAGAGAAGCCCAGCTCACCCCTGACCCTTCGGTCGTTTGGGATGCCCTGTGGAGCCTGGGGTAGCAGGAAGGGAGTGCATTTCTAAAGCATGGAGTAGTTCCTCCATACAAAAGGCTGGTTAGGAGAAGGAAAATCCCTGACATACATATTACTGCTATGTATGCTACACAAAGCTAGTAGGCAGGATTCATATTTTAGTTATTTGGGAAATAAAACCTTCCCCATAAGAATATGTGCTGAGCAATTCTACAGCAGTAGTTCTGCCCAGCTGCTCTTCTTCTGACAGCACTGCTCAGGGGTTACGTACCAGCTGCTGTCCAAGAGCTCTCCACTGATTGTACTCAACAGCTCAGAGAACAGGTTTGAAAAAGACCAGCAAAACCATCAGAAATGGGGATGTGGGGAATCTTCACCTCTCCATTCAAGAACACCGCCCTTCTGCAGCTTGGGTTACTACAGGGCTATTGCCCCAACAGTCTGGTCTCACTGAACAATTACACCTTCAAACTGCAATCAGCTGTCCATCTGATGGGGATTTTCTCCCTGTAGTTCAGGCAGTGTCTTGCTCCCAGAGATAATTTCATCTCCTCAGAGCTGAGGTGCTAGAGGAGCCCATTTACTCCGGTGCTCGCTCTGAAAATGCATACAATATTCCTCATCAAAAAGTGCACTTTGGTCCACAACAGGAACCAGTCCAAAAAGAAAAGAGTTCAGTCTACTCCTAAGGCTCAGTTTTCTTGTCATCAGCTGGCATCCATAATAAAAACCTACTGTCCAAAATAGCCTGAACTGGCAGGGAGTTTACGGCTTTTCCTGTGGAGAGTCCTGTTGCCTTAAAGCATGGTCACTATGAGCTCAGGTAGAGCCGAGTGGCCAGGCTGTAGTGAGGGAAAGCGTATCAATGGCAGTGTTTTGCCTGGCTGAGCTCCCTGCTTTCTTCCTCTGCTTTTGGGTGCCTCTGGCACTTGGGTGACTCACCAGGCAGACAAGCAGGTACCCCAGCAATGACCAACACAGAAGAGGGAATGATGGCTCCTTTCAGCAAGGCCACAGGAAACGACATCTTCCTTCTTTCAGCTCCCAAAGGCAGCTCACTGGAGAAGTAGTTTAGCATATTCCACCACTTGAGGCTTTCTATGATAAATGACAGCTTCTAATGAGATGCATTGTGCCAGAAAAAAAAGGAAATGTTTGTCTACTGCTTTGATGTGACAAAATTATCCACGTACCAGTTGGATTTTTCAGATTTATCTTTGATTCTTGAAATGTAGTCACTGTTGTTCAAGGGGAAGCTTAAAGCACAAGTTGTAATTTCTGAAGCCCACAAATGACAGGGGTTTAAAGCTAAGAGCAAAGTGATAAGAACCAGACTGCTAATCAGTCCTTGGTCTGATATGAACTGATACTGCATAAGTGCATTTTAAACAAGCTGATCAGATATGACAGCAAAAGGCAAGGGTGTCTCTTCATCGTAGTCAAAATACTGCATCAGTCTGCAACTGCATAATAGCCAGTGATCCGGAAAAGCACGCAGAGGAAAGCATTCCCTTCTGCACACTGGCACATCACAACAGTGCTTGTAGAGAGTCCAGCCTCTGGAGCTGCACTTGCTACCTTATCCAAGCAGTGCAAGCACCAACAGCAAAACCCAAAGTGCTTCAGCAGACTCCAGCATCTGGAAGTGCTCTGGAGTGAGGCAGCCTTGCTTACTCCTGTGCCCAACCTTAAATGCTTCTGCACTACAAGCAGTCCCTGGTGCCATTTCCTCCTGTGGCATGCCTCTAAGGTAATGGTTTGCTTTACAATTTCCTTACTAGGATCTCAGTAACAGGTTTTCAGTCTCCTCCTTTAAAGCCAATGAGAATAGTTACCTCTAGCATTCACACCAGAGTACAGTTTTAGTTTTCTTCCTTTGCTGTCACTGGATCTTCAATTTTCACCTCATACCCATCTTGTTAGATGGGCTTTGACTAAATCCCTCCTTCCCCATGATTTTCCACACCCTGTTACTATCCTTATCTTACTCTTGAATAGGATTGAGGCAGCAGCAGAGCACTGCTGAACATTTGAGCTCTGCTGTATCCCTAAAGTAGCAACTTCTCTTTTGACTGCTCACTAACAAGCAAGCCAGCTGAGCAGTGGGCAGCAGAATGAAAGACAATACAGACACCTGGGTGCAACTCCACAGTTTCTTCTCCTAATATTGCACACTTCGGAATTAAGCAATGTATTACACCCATGGCATTAGTGAATGTCTGCCAGCCATGTTCCAGACACAAGCCACAAGAAG